AACAACCAGCTGATTACACCAGGTAATAAAACCTTAAAAATGAAAACAAAAGGTCACGAAGCTCGTTAAAAAATCACGCGCTGACGAGCTGCTAAGGTCGGATCAGCTGCTTTCTGTTCAGGTGTTTTTCCTTCGGTGTCACGAAGGTGTTCTGGTTTCTACCGGCAGCAGAATCACCGCCGAGGTCGTCTCCAGAACAAACGGACATTAAAGACTCTGAATAAAGCACTTTAATTATACTCCATCAACTCTAGTGTTCACATCTACACTGTGCTCCTGGATACTGACGTTACAATGACGCCTGTCCGTCCGTCTGTCGGCATACCTCAGAGTAACAACATGGTCAGCTGGTCTTTAGACCGCCAGAGAAACAAAACAACCTTCTAGTTCCTGGGACTACAAGTCAGGTTGCTTCGGTGGGACACGGCTGTAGTTGGCATGTAAACATGTTGTTGGTTGAAAATGGCGTCCTGTGCCTGTCAGCATGCTGAATGTCTGAACACGGTGACCCTCGCTCTGAGTGAAGGAGGTGAAGTGTTCCTGCAGTTATTTTCCCTGCAGTGTTTCTGGACTGCGTCCTGAAGCCAAACCTCTCAGAGCAGCTATTTCATATAATAACTGTGGACGCTGAGTTTCTGGAGAGTCACGGTGATGGACGGCTGCCTGCTGCCTCACTTAGAGAAGAAAATCAAATGAAGACGGCGAGCCGAGGCGTGCCACGTTCTAACCAGAGGGCCCATTAAAAACATGGCAGCATATTGATAGCATATGACTGAGTCACATGAGGACAGTCCTCTGTTCCTCCGTCTCTCTGTCCCTCCACGAACACACCGGCAGCAGCAGCTAACATATGGCAGCGGTAAAAAGCTAATGTGGAGCTGGCAGCTCGCTCGCTAATTACGGCACCTTTAATGCCCTAATGTCTCCGGGGAGGGGCGTCTTCCTCTGAAGCTGCACGGAAAACTGAGGCTGGCCTTCATTTAAAAATGGATCTTTCAAGTGCTGAATTTTTAAGTAAATCCCGAGATAGCAGCTGACAGTCGAGGCTGCTTTGATGCTGACAGTTAAGGTTTCCTTTTATTTCTGCTGCTCACTGTACAAAACTGGCTAAATTACATTTCCACATCAAACACAGACATTTATTTAAACGTGTTTAAACACAGCTCTGTTTCCTTTTCCAGAGGCAGTTATCAAAGGCCGGGGGCAGGTGTGACAAAGCAGCTCCGCGAGGGGGTGAAGGGATTATTACGTTTGATTCCCTGTCTCAGTTTGCAGAACACAAAGTTAATGTATTATTAGCTAATGCTAACACTACATTAACAAGGTGGAGCTCCAAAACTCTAACCCAAACGTTATAATAGGCTGCTGTACTAAAACACTACGCTCTCCTGGTTCCTCATTGTTGTGATATAAAGTGTGTCTGTGTGTCGGGATTCATGTGAAGCAGAATGCATGACCTGCAAAGCTGACACGAACCTGTCAGTGTCAAATAAAGGTGCAACAACAACAACAAAATATGGTCACCCTAGCTAACGTGACATTTTTAGTGCTAAGTAACCAACATGATCACAGCAAGTGGTGGACCAAGGCAAGCAAATATAACATTAGCAGGGCTATGCTAAGCTAATATAAGTTTAGTAAACAAGACAACATTGCATAAGCAGGGATAAGCTGGCAGGGAACTATGGTAACATAACATTATTAGCATTATTAACATATTCACAGTAAAAAAAATAACATTATCATGGCTAAGCTAATATAACATTAGCAGGGCTAAGCTAATATAACATTATCAGGGCTAAGCTAACGTGACATTATCAGGGCTAAGCTAACGTGACATTATCATGGCTAAACTAACGTGACATTAGCATGGCTAAACTAATGTGACATTAGCATGGATAAACTAATATAACATTATCAGGGCTAAGCTAATGTGACATTATCAGGGCTAAGCTTAGCATGGCTAAGCTAATATGACATTATCAGGGCTAAGCTAATGTGACATTATCAGGGCTAAGCTAATGTGACATTATCAGGGCTAAGCTAATGTGACATTATCAGGGCTAAGCTAATGTGACATTATCAGGGCTAAGCTTAGCATGGCTAAGCTAATATGACATTATAAGGGCTAAGCTAATGTGACATTATCAGGGCTAAGCTAATGTGACATTATCAGGGCTAAGCTTAGCATGGCTAAGCTAATGTGACATTATCAGGGCTAAGCTAATGTGACATTATCAGGGCTAAGCTAATATGACATTATCAGGGCTAAGCTAAGGACAGCTAAGCAGCTGTCTAACATTAATTGCTCATTCTTGTCTCATTAAATAATGAAACTCCACTTTGTTTTAAAGACTTAATACGTATTAGAGCTGCTGTAGTTAAACGTGACGATCTGATTGGGCCTCGTCAGCTTCATCAGGGAGCTCTTAACGAACACAAACACATTTGCTCACCTCGACGTGTTTGTGTGGTTCACTTTCAGGGCTCGATGCTGGAGGTGTTTGAGCTCCAATCAGAGCTCTGCAGAGCCGACAGGATGAAACCGCCGACGCTCCTCGAGCGTGAAATTAATGTTGCTGTTCTTTGTTGATAATCCAACAGTTTCCAGAACAGCCTCAAACCAAATTACTTCTCCACGTTTCTCTTTTCTGTCGGCTGAAATAGAACTTTGCTTCGTTTGGAAACCTCTGAAAACAACATTTTACCCTCAGACTGAACCTTATTAGTGCTTTTTATTCAATCTATATATTTAATATTATTACTACAAATGTTAAGCTTCTCATTCAGTGCTTTTCATTATTCTTTTCCTCTCAAGTGTTTTCAGGTGTCTAACAGTGATGAAATAAAACAATTTAATTATCACTTTGGTTTAAACGACCAATCAAAACACTGAGTGATTGATTAACCAGATTGTTAATGAACATTCAGAGTCAGAGCACCTCGTTAATATTCAATTTCATTCTGCGTGTGCAGCGTCACGTGACCAGGTGAAGCGTTTTACCTGTAACAGACTGTAGATGTTGTAGTTTCATCAGCCCGGAGCTCGGGGTCACGGCCTGATGACATCATAACCCTCCAGAACAACACGACACCAATAAAGTTTTTACAGTCGAGTCCATAAAAACACAGAGGCATTAAAGCTTTTCATTGGCCTGTTAACACACGCGTTTACTGTGTGTTCATATGTGTGTGTTCATGTGAGGCACCTTCAGGCTCTCGCTTCTGTCTGAACCAAGCAGGAACCTCCGGGTCTGAAGAGTGAAGCACCTTAAACCTGCGTCCTCTCCAGCAGCCAGCAGGGGGCGACTCCAGCGGCTGCAGAAAGAAACTGTTTCTACTTGTCAGCTGATTTATTCCCTCAGTAAACACTTTCCTGATGAGTTTATGGTCTCAGTCGCTAGTTTCAAGTCTTCTTCAACACAGCATGATGTTCATTTAGTAAATTATGGTCCCATTTAGAGGAACAGAGACCAGGAAGCAGGGGAGGCTTTAGGGCGGGGCTACAAGCTGATTGACAAGTCGCTACCATGGCGACCTTCCAATCAGGATAGAGGCGACTCGTATCTGCTGCTCTATGTAAATTTAACCAGCGCCGCTGAAAAAGCTCATCAGGAGTCGGCTGCTCATTTTTCAGGAAGTACGTTTAGTTTTAAGCCTGTTTGTCGCTAGCTAAAATTAGCATCCGAGCTAATATCACAGCTAACGTGAATTACAGATGCAACTTGCTAACCAAGCTAGCTAGCTCCTCCCTCCTATGTTGGACAAGTTACTTCCAAAATGTAATAAATATAGATAACTACTAACTTTCCCTTGAGAGTAATTAGTTACTACATTAGTGTCTGAGTTGTAATGCTTTACTTTTGCATTAATTTCTCTGCTATCTAATAGGAGCATGATTCAGACAGTAAGATGTGCTGCATAGGGCTCTAGTGACGTTCAGATCACAGTTATATCCGCAGATCAGGTGGGTCTTTGCCATAAAAATGAACATATATACATATATATATATGATAAAGAAAAAATAGAAACACATGGCAGAACCCCCCCCCGACAAAGCTCATGTTTTCAGAGGAGCCCTATAGGAGCCCAGCTCCCCCGTAGTTTAAACCCTGCCTACCATCTCAATTATCAAACTCCAGCAACAGCAAATTAGGTTTTTACTCACTATTATATTTTCTGGTACCGAAATGTTTCACGGTGTTGGTGAATTATTAAAAAAACAAAACACCGCGTAATTCCAGGTTGAAATGCATTTTACCGAGCGTGACTGAGATTGTAACAGGTATCATTTCTCTACATGTTATTTTATATTACTGCATTACATTAAGATGCAAAACATTTCTGTGACTGTGTCACTCTTGTAATACTGGTCACGTCGGGTTACAAAAAACCAAGATGGCGAACTGGAGGCTTGAAAACTCGTATGTGCTCCACTTGGTTCTCCGGCCGGAGGTCAGTCCGCTCCTCTGCAGAGCTGAATCAGGACCCGGAGGCCTGAAGCTGCCGACTGAACTCAGCTTCAGCCTGACGAGTCCAACTCTGACTCACCGTCTGATTATATCACGATATTTCATCATCTACTGAAGTTATTGTTTCAAAAGGTTTAATTTATCTCATCTTTGACTTTGTTTGCTAGATTTCTCAAAATATTTAAAGGGTATAATTAAAGTATTATTATTAAATGATCTCTTCTCATATTTCAGAATCAGAAGTACGTTGATCGCCGAGGGGAAATTCTGTTACAACTTCTTAATTTGCATATCAGATATTAAGGAATAGAAATACTACTAGAAAGTAAATGAGTGTGGATATGTACAGTATTTTACAGTATTAACAGAAGTGCCATGATAAACAGTAGTAGTGGAGAAAATACTAGAACTAATCTCTGTCTCTTAATATTCACTCAGCAGCCTCTTTTTTTTATCTTGGCAGGACAGTGCTTCCATACCAGTCTTACTTTTTCTAACTATTTATTGATTAACAGACAGAGTTGATCAGATCGTAATCAAAATAAGAAACTTTATTTGTATTAAAACATCCTCTCAGCTGTTTGGATGAAACACTTCAGGACCTGGTTGTGGGTTTGTGACGGTGATGTGGCCTCAGTGGCTACGTCTGGAGATCCACTTTATTCTGGTTTCTGCTGGGTCCTGGACCTGGCAGCTCAGGTGGAGCTGCAGACTGAAACCACAGCCTGGCTGCCGCTCAGTCGCTGTGGTGAACAACAGAAACTCACGAGCACAAAGGATAAAAATGGATGGAGCCGATCTATGAGGTGGCACCGCCTGTGGAAACATGAAAGCTTTTACACGGTGACCCCCCTCCTTTAAACCCAAACCACACACATAAAAGAAAGTTCTCCTCCGGCCCGAGAGGACGGTTTACAGGTCCAGACTCTGCGTCTCCAGCCCGCCACACTGCCTTTTTGATTTGGGGGCTCAAAAGGTGCCTGGGACGGGCTGGGAGTCACGGCGCGTTCTGCGGGCCGTGGCGTCGAGTCAAGCATGACGACGGGCTGGCAGACGCTCCGGCGACCTCAGAACAAGCCGGCGCTAATGGAGTGAAGTCAGAGCTGCCGCGGTGCGTTCAGGGACCCTGCGCTGCCAGCAGAGTCTCAAAACGCTCCTTCAGAGAAGTCCAGGAGAAGGAGGAGGTGTCGACCTTAACCAAGAAGAAGAAGATCACAAACTTAAACTTTCAGATATTCATCTGCATTTAAACACATTTAAACGAGCTAACAGTTAAAGTTTAATATGCTGGGAAATTAAATGAACATCTTCATTTAGCTCAGAGTTAGCTTCATTTAGCTCAGAGTTAGCTTCATTTAGCTCAGAGTTAGCTTCATTTAGCTCAGAGTTAGCTTCAAGTACCTTTTGTTTTGCCTAACTTAGCACAAAGACTATCTGACTTACATGTTGCACCTGTTAGCTAACAAGCTAGTCACCGATCCATCCTGTAGCTTGGGTTAGCTGACTGGACCTAGAAGCTAACTTGGAGCTAACTGGACCTAGAAGCTAACTCGGAGCTTACTGGACATAGAAGCTAACTCGGAGCTAACTGGACACAGAAGCTAACTGAGCTAACTGGACCTAGAAGCTAACTTGGAGCTAACTGGACCTAGAAGCTAACTCGGGGCTAACTGGACCTAGAAGGTAACTCAGGGCTTACTGGACATAGAAGCTAACTCGGAGCTAACTGGACACAGAAGCTAACTGAGCTAACTGGACCTAGAAGCTAACTGAGCTAACTGGACCTAGAAGCTAACTTGGAGCTAAATGGATCTAGGAGCTAACTCTGAGCTAACTGGACATAGAAGCTAACTCGGAGCTAACTGGACACAGAAGCTAACTGAGCTAACTGGACCTAGAAGCTAACTTGGAGCTAAATGGATCTAGGAGCTAACTCTGAGCTAACTGGACCTAGAAGGTAACTCGGAGCTAACTGGACCTAGAAGGTAACTCAGGGCTTACTGGACATAGAAGCTAACTTGGAGCTAAATGGATCTAGGAGCTAACTCTGAGCTAACTGGACCTAGAAGCTAACTCGGAGCTAACTGGACACAGAAGCTAACTGGACCTAGAGCTAACTGGATATAGAAGCTAACTCGGAGCTAACTGGACCTAGAAGCTAACTCGGAGCTAACTGGACCTAGAAGGTAACTGAGCTAACTGAACCTAAAAGCTAACTGAGCTAACTGGACCTAGAAGCTAACTTGGAGCTAACTGGACCTAGAAGGTAACTCAGGGCTTACTGGACATAGACGCTAACTCGGAGCTAACTGGACACAGAAGCTAACTGAGCTAACTGGACCTAGAAGCTAACTTGGAGCTAATTGGATCTAGGAGCTAACTCTGAGCTAACTGGACCTAGAAGCTAACTCGGAGCTAACTGGATATAGAAGCTAACTGGACCTAGAGCTAACTGGACCTAGAAGCTAACTCGGAGCTAACTGGACCTAGAAGCTAACTGAGCTAACTGGACCTAAAAGCTAACTTGGAGCTAATTGGATCTAGGAGCTATCTCTGAGCTAACTGGACCTGAAGCTAACTGAGTTAACTGGACATAGAAGCTAACTCTGAGCTAACTGGACCTAGAAGCTAACTCTGAGCTAACTGGACATTTAAGCTAACTGAGCTAACTGGACACAGAAGCTAACTGAGTTAACTGAACCTAGAAGCTAACTCGGAGCTAATTGGACCTAGAAGCTAACTCGGAGCTAACTGGACCTAGAAGCTAACTCGGAGCTAACTGGACCTAGAAGCTAACTCGGAGCTAACTGGACATAGAAGCCAACTCGGAGCTAACTGAACCTAAAAGCTAACTGAGCTAACTGAACCTAGAAGCTAACTCTGAGCTAACTGGACCTGAAGCTAACTGAGTTAACTGGACATAGAAGCTAACTCGGAGCTAATTGGACCTAGAAGCTAACTGGACCTAGAGCTAACTGGATATAGAAGCTAACTCGGAGCTAATTGGACCTGGAAGCTAACTCAGAGCTAACTGGACATAGAAGCTAACTGAGCTAACTGGACCTAAAAGCTAACTGAGCTAACTGAACCTAGAAGCTAACTTGGAGCTAATTGGATCTAGGAGCTATCTCTGAGATAACTGGACCTGAAGCTAACTGAGTTAACTGGACCTAAAAGCTAACTGAGCTAACTGGACCTAGAAGCTAACTCGGAGCTAACTGAACATAGAAGCTAACTCGGAGCTAAATTAACCTAGAGGCTAACTCTGAGGTAACTGGACACAGAAGCTAACTCTGAGCTAACTGGACCTAGAAGCTAACTCCGAGCTAAATGAACCTAGAGGCTAACTCTGAGCTAACTGGACCTAAAAGCTAACTCTGAGCTAAATGAACCTAGAGGCTAACTCTGAGCTAACTGGACCTAAAAGCTAACTGAGATAACTGAACCTAGAAGGTAACTCGGGGCTTACTGGACATAGAAGCGAACACTAAGCTAACTGGACACAGAAGCTAACTGAGCTAACTGAACCTAGAAGCTAACTGAGTTAACTGGACCTCGAAGTTAACTCGGAGCTAACTGGACCTAGAGGCTAAGTCTAAGCTAACTGGACATAGAAGCTAGGTTCTGGTTTTAGTCGGTCACCTTAACGTTGTGTCGTCGGGCGATGTCGGGCCTCCTGCAGAGTCCCTGCAGCCGTTTACAGAGCTGCTCAGGTGTGGAGTACAGGTACTCTGCTGCATTAGAGAACAGAGAAGAAGAAGCTACAGCTCCACACAGACACGTGACTCAACCAGAGTTCACTTTAAAATCACATGTTTTTATCACCTGGGAATATTTCAGGATACACCAAAGCCTTCGGACAAAGAGGATAACAGCCGCAGTGAACCGCTTCCAACCTGTGGATCATTAATACACAGCATTAAACACTGAGATAATAATAAGAATAAATTCAGGGTGTGAGGACGTGCTAACGATGATCCATCATCTGCAGCATTAAAGCAACCGTTCAACATTTAGAGAAAAGTGTTCACGTTGAGACCCAGCTGCTGGTTAGCTTAGCTTAGCATAAAGTAACAGAGCAAACAGAATACCTGCTCGGTTTAACAGTCTCACTGCGGGTCAGATCAGTTGGTAACGCTGAACTGATGTGAACCCTGCTGACCAGAGACGCCCCAGATTTTAATATTTTGAAGATCATTTATTAATAATTGATGACTTTTCAATCTCACTCCTCACCATCTCTTTCATGCTGGAAACATTCATATTTAAACAGCAGATCTGACTGAGCTCCACAGAGTTTCATCAGAAACAAACCGGATTCATGAAGAACTGCTTTGAAAATGATCAGAGGTCTGGTCTGTAGGTCCGAGGGTCTGAGGGTCTGAGGGTCAAAAGGTCTGAAGGTCTGAGGGTCTGAGGGTCTGAGGGTCTGAAGGTCTGAGGATCTGAAGGTCTGAGGGTCTGAGGGTCAAAAGGTCTGAAGGTCTGAGGGTCTGAAGGTCTGTAGGTCCGAGGGTCTGAGGGTCTGAGGGTCTGAAGGTCTGAGGGTCTGAGGGCCTGAGGGTCAAAAGGTCTGAGGGTCTGAGGGCCTGAGGGCCTGAAGGTCTGAAGGTCTGAGGGTCTGAGGGCCTGAGGGTCAAAAGGTCTGAAGGTCTGAAGGTCAAAAGGTCTGAGGGTCTGAAGGTCTGAAGGTCTGAGGGTCTGAAGGTCTGAAGGCCTGAGGGTCTGAGGGTCTGAAGGCCTGAGGGCCTGAGGGCCTGAGGGTCAAAAGGTCTGAGGGTCTGAGGGTCTGAGGGCCTGAGGGTCAAAAGGTCTGAAGGTCTGAGGGTCTGAGGGTCAAAAGGTCTGAGGGCCTGAAGGTCCAGCTCTCTGATCTGGATCACTGAGGTCAGGTCTGTGATGTGAGTCATTGTTTTCGTTCCCTCTCACATATAATTATCTGACTGCTGAATGACATCATCACGCCGCAGGACTGACGACCAATAATCGGATCAAAGCGAACGCAGTGAGCCGACGACACGCTAGACTGAGCTGCTAGCATTTAGCATGTTAGCCTGTTCCTATGCTAACATTAGCCACCTAGAGAGCTGATGCTGCAGAGTGAAGTATTGTTTGTTGTATTTCTACTGTACGCAGTAAATAAGTACACATGATGTGTATAAAAACTGTGAATATGAATTAAAATAATTCATATTTATTGTTCTTTATTCTTTCAGATGATTTAATGGATGTAGAAGAAGAGCAGGAGCCATCTTGTGATGATCTGCGCTCTCACAGAACTCCATGTTAATATTAACCCTTTTTAAAGTCCACATCTCTGCAGGTCTGTATGAACACCACCGCGCTGAGCATCAGCAGAGCGCCGCGGGGGGGCCGAGGGTCCCGGTCCCTCCTGGTTTGGCATCAAAGATAAAACACAAACATCACTTCCCCCTCAGGGACGACACTTCTTCTCTCTGCCATAATTAGCTCACGACTTCGTTATCACACGGGGGGAACAGTTTGCCGTCTGCTCTCATTAAACAAACAACACTTTTATTCATTCACATCCAGCATGTCACCGTCTCCGCCTGCTGTTAGCGCCACTGTGGACGCTAACGCCAAAACTGCTAACTGGAGACGCAGCTAATTAATAAACTAGAATGAGCTTTTCTTGTACTTTAATTAGACGGATCTCTGAAACATTAATGAGCAGTTCTTCTTCTGCTAGCACCACACAGCTAACGCGTGTGCTAAATGTTAGCATGATATCAGGTTAGCCACCGTGTGTCCTGATCTCAGGGTTAATGAATCAAAATAAACTGCGTGCTGAATTCAGTGCTTTTCTTCTTTTATTAAAAAGACAACAGGAGTCTGGTGTGGAGCTGATGTGCTGAGCTCAGATCCAAATAAATATCTCAGACCTCCAACATGAATCAGGTGAAGATCAGACGGTGGGCACCGCGGGCCGGACGCTCACAGAGCTGTTTGATTGGCTGTGCTTCAGAGAGCGGAGCGTCTGATTGGCCGCTGTAGTTCAGCCCGCAGCTCGGGTCCACCTGACTGAACGTGTGATCAGAGACTCGGCTGCAGAGCTCAGGTGACTGAAGTCTGACTGAAGTCTGGTCCACAAACAAACCACCTGAGAGGCTGCTGGTCCCTGCTGAGAGCCCACACCTGCAGGTCTCTACAGGCTTCTGATCTGACGAGACCACCTGAGGAACAGAGTCAGGACCCTCTGAGTCTGAGGGGTCGGATTTACTGCACACATACTGAGCTCTGAGAGAGTGCTGAAATCTTTCTGCTGGAACACAATTAATGTGCTGGAACTCTGCTGAAGCTTGTTTTACATTGAGGACAGGTGAGGACAGACAGGCGAGGACAGACGAAGACGGACAGGTGAGGACAGACAGGTGAGGACAGATGAAGACAGACAGGCAGGTTAGGACAGGTGAGGACAGACAGGTGAGGACAGATGAAGACGGACAGGCAGGTTAGGACAGGTGAGGACAGACAGGTGAGGACAGATGAAGACGGACAGGCAGGTTAGGACAGGTGAGGACAGACAGGTGAGGACAGACAGGCCAGGACAGAAGAAGACGGACAGGCAGGTTAGGACAGGTGAGGACAGACAGGTGAGGACAGACGAAGACGGACAGGCAGGTGAGGACAGACAGGTGATGACAGACAGGTGAGGACAGACGAAGATGGACAGGCAGGTTAGGACAGGTGAGGACAGACGAAGACGGACAGACAGGTGAGGACAGACAGGTGAGGACAGACAGGTTAAGACAGACGAAGACGGACAGGCAGGTTAGGACAGACGAAGATGGACAGGTGAGGACAGACGAAGACAGACAGGCAGGTTAGGAGAGGTGAGGACAGACAGGTGAGGACAGACGAAGACGGACAGGCAGGTTAGGACAGGTGAGGACAGACAGGCCAGGACAGACGAAGACGGACAGGCAGGTTAGGACAGGTGAGGACAGACGAAGATGGACAGGCAGGTTAGGACAGGTGATGACAGACGAAGACGGACAGGCAGGTGAGGACAGACAGGTGATGACAGACAGGTGAGGACAGACAGGTTAGGACAGGTGAGGAGAGGCGAGGACAGACAGGTGATGACAGACAGGTGATGACAGACGAAGACGGACAGGCAGGTTAGGACAGACAGGTGAGGACAGACGAAGATGGACAGGTGAGGACAGACGAAGACGGACAGGCAGGTTAGGACAGACAGGTGAGGACAGACAGGTTAGGACAGGTGAGGAGAGGCGAGGACAGACAGGTGATGACAGACGAAGACGGACAGGCAGGTTAGGACAGACAGGTGAGGACAGACGAAGATGGACAGGTGAGGACAGACGAAGACGGACAGGCAGGTTAGGACAGGTGAGGACAGACAGGTGAGGACAGATGAAGACGGACAGGCAGGTTAGGACAGGTGAGAACAGACAGGCCAGGACAGAAGAAGACGGACAGGCAGGTTAGGACAGGTGAGGACAGACAGGTGAGGACAGACGAAGACGGACAGGCAGGTTAGGACAGGTGAGGACAGACGAAGACGGACAGGCAGGTGAGGACAGACAGGTTAGGACAGACAGGTGAGGACAGACGAAGACGGACAGGCAGGTTAGGACAGACAGGTGAGGACAGACGAAGATGGACAGGTGAGGACAGACGAAGACGGACAAGCAGGTTAGGACAGGTGAGGACAGACAGGTGAGGACAGATGAAGACGGACAGGCAGGTTAGGACAGGTGAGGACAGACAGGCCAGGACAGACGAAGACGGACAGGCAGGTTAGGACAGGTGAGGACAGACAGGTGAGGACAGACGAAGATGGACAGGCAGGTGAGGACAGACAGGTGATGACAGACAGGTGAGGACAGACGAAGATGGACAGGCAGGTTAGGACAGGTGAGGACAGACGAAGACGGACAGATAGGTGAGGACAGACAGGTGAGGACAGACAGGTGAGGACAGACGAAGACGGACAGGCGAGGACAGACAGACGAGGACAGACAGGTGAGGACAAACGAAGACGGACAGGCAGGTTAGGACAGGTGAGGACAGGCAGGTGAGGAGAGGCGAGGACAGACAGGCAGGTGAGGACAGGTGAGGAGAGGTGAGGACAGAAAGGTGATGACAGACAGGCGAGGACAGACCGGCAGGTGAGGACAGACAGGCGAGGACAGACAGGTGAGGACACACAGGGGAGACGAGATCGTCACAAACTCACATGGCGACCCCGAAGAACTCGTGTTTGGCGGTGGAGACGACCACGTCGGCCTGACTCAGCACTCGCAGGTAGTCCTCTTTGCCGGGCAGGAAGCCCCAGTTCAGGATGTGACGCTCCAGCTGACGCCTGGCCTCCGAGAAGATCTCTGCAGAGCAACAGGAGGAGAAGAAGAAGAGCCGTGCAGGTGAGTCTGTGAGGGCGGCTTTCAGGTAACAAGTTTATAATTATCATCAGAAGAAGAAGTGAAGGAAAATAAGAAACCATATTCAGTAAGTGGAGCCAGTATTTATTGTCTTCGTGTGTCCTTTTCTGAATATATTTATATTTTACTCTGCGCTGCGACTTCCTCACGTAAACCCTGCTGCCGTCTGACAGGAACAAATAAAGAGAATGAGACCGAACACAGTTTTAAAAAAGCCGGACGTTTATGAATCTGGACGTTTATGACAGGAGCAGGAAGACAAACAGGTGAGGGGTGAAAATAATCAATACTCTGACCCTATTAACAAAATCAAAGTCGATTAAAATTGTCCTAATGTGATTGCCTTCCCAGCGCTCATAAAGCTAATCAGTGAGTATGAAGCAGGATTTACGGTCAGCGTGTTTCTGCTGCAGTAAAACTTTACGTCTCAATATCTCAGAGTGAGTTCATTAAGCTAAGAGACGCACACAGTCATTACAGCATCATCAGCTGATGATACACAGCGTGTTGATCAATTAAAAACGCCGCTCGGGCCTGAGAGCGGCGCCGACCTTTGACCTCGTCGGAATCTAATCACACAGAGATGATTATTTACCTGCAGACCGAGTTTGTAAAGGTGAAACTAAAGTCAGAGCAGGGAACTCTCAGGCCTCCATGCTGCAGTACTGCAGTACTGAATACTACCTGTGCTGCGGCTCACGACACCTGACAAACAGTCCAGGTGGTGTAACAGTATCTGTATTAATATGCACATTTACATATTTATACCCCACAACAGCTCCATGTTTGTAGTTTGTATGCAGAATAACTTGTAGTTCTTTCTCACTTTGTCTGAACTTTGTCTACCTTCTTTGGTTCTTCTGTAAACTCCTTGGAACAACCTGTTCATTCACCCTCAGATATGTGGACTGGAGAGATTATATATATATATATATAATACCAATGAAAGCAGACAGAGTTGATCCTACTGTGAAATAATGAACAAAACTCCTTCATTTAGTAAATATATATGTGCGTGTTCACCTGGTGGATCGGTGAAAGTCTCTCCGAGCACCGACAGGTGAAAGTCGACTCGTCTCTCCTTCAGTTTGATCAGAGTGGAGAAGAAGAGCTCGGGGTTTTTATCATGCTCCCTGCAAACACACAGAGAAGGAGTTACTGCAGCAGCAGGAGGAGGAGGAGGAGGAGGAGGAGGTTTAAATGTTATTATATCTGTTGCTGTTAACGTCTCTGTGTGTGCAGCACGAAGGAACGACGAACACTCATTATACAGCCTGATATTTATATTTGACCAGGAGAGTCTCATTGGGAGACCTACACGCCAACGCGCAGATGTCACACGGTGATGTTGTGATGTCACGCAATGACGTCATGCGGTAATGTTGTGATGTCACTCGGTGATGCCGTGAAGCTCTGCAGCTGACAGTGACATCACCATCCCTCGCCCCGACCTCACGGCACTAACGTGCAGCTTTGTTATTTTCATAGGTCTCTCTTTATTCACGCTCCGACGGTCATGTGACGTCTGACTGATGTCAGAAGTCACATGACGCTCTGACGGCCATGTGACTTCTGACTGATGTCAGCTGCGTCCTTCTTTTAGATTCATGTTCATCTATTCATATTCAGGATGAGAAAAGAGAGTCTTTGTTTATGGATTTGTTTCATTTGTACAAAGCAAATAAAAGCAGAAGAAGTGTGGAGGACTGAGCATGCTCAGTGAAGAGCTCATTAATATTCATTTCAAACTCTGACGGTCTCATGTAAAGCCGAGTGATTAAATATTCTGCTTCATGTTGAACCCAAGAGGAGCTTTTTAAAATTCAAATATTATTTACTAAGATTCACAATGTGAGTGTGAAAAGCACAAACTGCACCTCGTGAACAGACACAGCAGAAACACGATTTAACACAGCTTCTGTAAAGAAACAAGTTTAAACCCAACACGGACGACGCGCTCAGGTGACGTGCGTGTCGATGGCACACGGAGATTATCGATCAATCTCAAATATTTTCTCACTTAATCAGTGACTTGTTTGATAAAATGAGTCAAGAGGAAGAAAGAAATATTAAAATAGAGCTGCTCAAAACCATCAATCGATTAGTAAAATAGTGTCCGCGGTGGACTCGGCGCTCGGTTCTTCGGTCCAGCTGATCGATCTCTCCGAGGTTAAACGTGTTCCGGCCTACAACTTAAGAGCGTTGCGTTTCCTGCCGATTGTTTCAATCAGTACGTGGCTCCTCTGATCCTGATCAACATGCTGCTCTCACACAGATTTAACCCCCCGACCCCCCCATCCTCACCTGGAACAGCTGTTCACCCCCCCGCAGCAGCAGCAATAAGACGGAGCTGTAATCTGAGGATCGGGGCCACACACAGATTAAAGCAAACAGACGAGGAGCTCCAATCACAGATTAACAGAAATCAGAATAAAAGCCGGCTGCAGCTTTAATCCATCTGTGTTTTTGCTCAGTTCAGAGCAGATTACACGACGGCTGCTGTTGTTACTGATACAAGAGAAGCTGAAAAACACCGCCGCACCAGCACGCTGCTCAGGGACGCCACGACGGCCCCCCACAGCCAATGACCGCGGCCTGAAAACTCAAAGCCGATTCATCGAGATGATCGGAAGCATCGCATATCAGCAGATCTGAGATCTATCAGACCGCTGACAGAGACAGGAAGTGAAAATCACTTCAGAATAAAAGGCATTTATTCTGTGATGAAAAGCTGCGTGTTTCTTCTTCTGCCTGTTGGGACGTGCACGAGTGAAACGGTTTATTTCTATTACTCTGTTAGATTTTGTCAATATTACACATATATACACACACACACACACACACACACACAAATCCTCTCCCCTGTAATCTGCTGCTGTTGTTTATAACGTGTTTATTCCATATTTATTAGGTTTTACATTAATGAGTGTCTACTTCCATCTGAAGGACAGAGGACACTCGTTTGAGGACCACCAGGTGCACATTTTAGACAGAGAAGATGGATGGTTTGAAAGAGGTGTCAAGGAAGCATCTACACCAGGGTGGAGAAGCCGTCATTGAACAGGGGAGGGGGTCTACGCCACCACTTATCCCCCACTTACAATGCTGTCCTTTCATCACTTCCCAGGAAACTCAACAAACGTAACCTATTGGCCTCAGGTGAAGATACCAACGATGGTCGTTCAGTCTCGGCCACAGGTGAAGATACCAACGATGGTCGTTCAGTCTCGGCCACAGGTGAAGATACCAACGATGGTCGTTCAGTCTCGGCCACAGGTGAAGATACCAACGATGGTCGTTCAGTCTCGGCCTCAGGTGAAGATACCAACGATGGTCGTTCAGTCTCGGCCTCAGGTGAAGATACCAACGATGGTCGTTCAGTCTCGGCCTCAGGTGAAGATACCAACGATGGTCGTTCAGTCTCGGCCTCAGGTGAAGATACCAACGATGGTCGGTCAGTCTCGGCCACAGGTAGCCCTAACGACTGTAATGACTGTCGTCACAGCAACAAGGAACACTAACAAACCAGCGGTATCGATGACCCGGGCCAACGACCCCACTGAGGTTAAATAGCTGAGTTTCCCTGCCAGTCAGTCAGAACTGAAGAAGTCCTTTGGATGAGGGACGAAACGTCTTCCAGTAGCTTCAACCAAGTCCAGCTGCCCTTGATTTTAACCTTCGTTGGAGAACTATGACCTGGATGACTGAGAATCTTCATAGACTTACATTAATATGTCGTACATGTAAAATGCTACCAGTCAATAAAGCTCTTTCGGATTCATCTACTGTCCATTTCACTGTTCGCCGTTTGTTTTGTGACAAGTTGTAAAATAATCAGCTAATGAATAAAAGGACTTCACTTTCATATTTTCTCGTAATTACAACTTTACTTTTTATGACTTTTCCAAGTAAATTAGATCCGATTATCTGATTTTAAAATATTTTGAACGGGTGAAGACTTCACCCTTCTTAAATTCAAATTTATTCATATAGCAGATTTAAAAACCAAAGTGCTGTCCAAGACACACAAACAAGACGAGAGAAAAGGTCGAAACCAACGAAAAGAGGAACAGAGGAGGGAACGTGTGAAAGCTCTGATGATTTGAAACCTTAAAATCAGTCCTGAAGAAGACGGGGAGGAGCATGTGTGGTGAGCTACATACTCACCAGCGGTGAGGCCAGACGATGTGCAGAGGGTTCACCTGGTCTGAGCTGCCCGCCTCACTAACTGGTCTCTGGTCCCCTCTGGGTTCTGAAGTGGACTGATGTGGATCCTCCTGCTCAGACCTGTCGGGGTCACTGGTCACCAACACATCCCATAATAGTGAGAAGAAGATCAAGAAGAGATATTTAACCGCTGCAGCGGAGGTTAAATCTTAGTATCTTATTCTTGTTACCGTCGAGTCTGCTGCTCCACCTGCGGGGTGATGATGTCATCAGCGTGAGACGGCTCTGCGGGCCTCCGGAGGAGTTTGTGTTCGGGCAGCAGTCTGAAAAAAACAACAGAGGAAGAATCAGCAAATAAACACAGCAGCGTCCCGCAGTCCTGAATGCTCCTGAACGCCTCATGGCCACTGACGGGGGAGGAGGGAGGGAGGACGAGGAGACAAAGCGAGGGAGGATGAGGAGACAAAGCGAGGGAGGAGCGAGGAGCGAGGACACAAACTGAGGGAGGACGAGGAGACAAAGCGAGGGAGGATGAGGAGACAAAGCGAGGGAGGATGAGGAGACAAAGCGAGGGAGGACGAGGAGACAAAGCGAGGGAGGAGCGAGGAGCGAGGACACAAACTGAGGGAGGACGAGGAGACAAAGCGAGGGAGGATGAGGAGACAAAGCAAGGGAGGAGCGAGGACACAAACTGAGGGAGGACGAGGAGACAAAGCGAGGGAGGAGCGAGGAGACAAAGCGAGGGAGGACGAGGAGACAAAGCGAGGGAGGATGAGGAGACAAAGCGAGGGAGGAGCGAGGACACAAACTGAGGGAGGACGAGGAGACAAAGCGAGGGAGGAGCGAGGAGACAAAGCGAGGGAGGAGCGAGGAGCGAGGACACAAACTGAGGGAGGACGAGGAGACAAAGCGAGGGAGGATGAGGAGACAAAGCGAGGGAGGAGCGAGGACACAAACTGAGGGAGGACGAGGAGACAAAGCGAGGGAGGAGCGAGGAGACAAAGCGAGGGAGGACGAGGAGACAAAGCGAGGGAGGACGAGCGAGGGAGGACGAGGAGACAAAGTGAGGGAGGACGAGGAGACAAAGCGAGGGAGGATGAGGAGACAAAGCGAGGGAGGACGAGGAGACAAAGCGAGGGAGGATGAGGAGACAAAGCGAGGGAGGACGAGGAGACAAAGCGAGGGAGGAGCGAGGAGCGAGGACACAAACTGAGGGAGGACGAGGAGACAAAGCGAGGGAGGATGAGGAGACAAAGCGAGGGAGGAGCGAGGACACAAACTGAGGGAGGACGAGGAGACAAAGCGAGGGAGGAGCGAGGAGACAAAGCGAGGGAGGACGAGGAGACAAAGCGAGGGAGGACGAGGAGACAAAGCGAGGGAGGACGAGGAGACAAAGCGAGGGAGGAGCGAGGAGCGAGGACACAAACTGAGGGAGGACGAGGAGACAAAGCGAGGGAGGACGAGGAGACAAAGCGAGGGAGGATGAGGAGACAAAGCGAGGGAGGATGAGGAGACAAAGTGAGGGAGGACGAGGAGACAAAGCGAGGGAGGACGAGGAGGACGAGGAGACAAAGCGAGGGAGGATGAGGAGACAAAGCGAGGGAGGAGCGAGGACACAAACTGAGGGAGGACGAGGAGACAAAGCGAGGGAGGATGAGGAGACAAAGCGAGGGAGGAGGAGGAGACAAAGCGAGGGAGGAGCGAGGAGACAAACTGAGGGAGGACGAGGAGACAAAGTGAGGGAGGAGCGAGGAGACAAAGCGAGGGAGGACGAGGAGACAAAGCGAGGGAGGATGAGGAGACAAAGCGAGGGAGGAGCGAGGACACAAACTGAGGGAGGACGAGGAGACAAAGCGAGGGAGGACGAGGAGACAAAGCGAGGGAGGACGAGGAGACAAAGCGAGGGAGGAGCGAGGACACAAACTGAGGGAGGACGAGGAGACAAAGCGAGGGAGGATGAGGAGACAAAGCGAGGGAGGACGAGGAGACAAAGCGAGGGAGGAGCGAGGACACAAACTGAGGGAGGACGAGGAGACAAAGTGAGGGAGGAGCGAGGAGACAAAGCGAGGGAGGACGAGGAGACAAAGCGAGGGAGGATGAGGAGACAAAGCGAGGGAGGATGAGGAGACAAAGCGAGGGAGGATGAGGAGACAAAGCGAGGGAGGATGAGGAGACAAAGCGAGGGAGGATGAGGAGACAAAGCGAGGGAGGACGACGAGGAGCGAGGACACAAAGTGAGGGAGGACGACGAGGAGCGAGGACACAAACTGAGGGAGGACGAGGAGACAAAGCGAGGGAGGACGAGGAGGAGGGAGGAGGACGAGGAGCGAGGACACAAACTGAGGGAGGACGACAAGGAGCGAGGACACAAACTGAGGGAGGAGCGAGGACACAAACTGAGGGAGGAGCGAGGACACAAACCGAGGGAGGACGATGAGGAGGGAGGACACAAACCGAGGGAGGAGGACGAGGAGGGAGGACACAAACCGAGGGAGGAGGACGAGGAGCGAGGACACAAACCGAGGGAGGACGATGAGGAGGGAGGACACAAACCGAGGGAGGAGGACGAGGAGCGAGGACACAAACCGAGGGAGGAGCGAGGACACAAACCGAGGGAGGACGATGAGGAGGGAGGACACAAACCGAGGGAGGAGGACGAGGAGGGAGGACACAAACCGAGGGAGGAGGACGAGGAGCGAGGACACAAACCGAGGGAGGAGCGAGGACACAAACCGAGGGAGGACGATGAGGAGGGAGGACACAAACCGAGGGAGGAGGACGAGGAGGGAGGACACAAACCGAGGGAGGAGGACGAGGAGCGAGGACACAAACTGAGGGAGGAGCGAGGACACAAACCGAGGGAGGACGATGAGGAGGGAGGACACAAACCGAGGGAGGAGGACGAGGAGCGAGGACACAAACCGAGGGAGGAGCGAGGACACAAACTGAGGGAGGAGCGAGGACACAAACCGAGGGAGGACGATGAGGAGGGAGGACACAAACCGAGGGAGGAAGACGAGGAGCGAGGACACAAACCGAGGGAGGAGGACGAGGAGCGAGGACACAAACCGAGGGAGGAGGACGAGGAGCGAGGACACAAACTGAAAGTCGACGTCTGATTGGAGGAAATAAAGACGTGTTAAAGCAGCAGTAACCTCTGACAGTCTGATCCAACATGAAAAGACGAAGAATCATTTCAGCTCATTTAGTTTAACTGCAAGAGTCTGAGAGTCCGCTACGGAGCCTGAACCAGGTCTGGACCGGATCACAGCGCTTTCCTGAGGCCAAACTCTCAATACAGGTGTAATAATTTCTATAAAGTCATGAGTCCAGAGGTTCTTTAAGGATCAGGTTTTAGCTGTAGAAGCACAGGTTAACCTCAGGAGCTGTTGGGGGGGCGCTGCATTCAGGTGACTCAGTTTCAGGGGAAACATACTGTTATTTTCTTCCAGAGCTTTCTACACTTGGATCCAACTTCTCCTCTGTGTTTATTGTGACCGGGGTTTCCTTCACCAGGAGAACCATCCTGTCCTGTTGGGGACACGCAGGAACATCTGCAGCAGCAGGAGCTCTGGAGGGACAGGAGACATCAGACCGGGCCGGAGCTGAAGAGGTTAAAGGAGTCTGATCCGGCTCTGAGCCCTCAGGCCTGTGGCTGTCCTGGTCTCAGCCGGGTCACACCGAGGGTTTCACAGCTTGGAGGTTTCTGTCATTTTAAAACGATCTCATCAGCAGAAAGCTCTGGATCTGAGGGGGGGCGGGTCAGTCCGGTGGACCGGAGGAGGCTCAGCAGGTCATTACAGCACATTAAGATCCACATTAGAGTCATTACGAGACGAGCAGTCAAAACCGATCGCTCCTGTCCGATGACCTGAGGGGGGTCCTGACCCACATGAGGAGTCAGCCCGTCTCCTGGTGCTGACTCCTGGTGGTTTTTCAGGCACAACAGGAAATTATGTAACGTTCATATGGAGGGAAAACGGTGGCATCAGGAGCGACGGATTATTTTCAGTCCAGAGAAGAAGAAGCATCTGCTGGGTTCAGCTGGGACGCCACAATCCCCCGACCATCAGACTCTCTAGGGGTCCCCGCTAGCTGCTGTCTGATTGGACGGGGGTTAGTGTGCTCTGACCAATCAGCAGCCACTGACTAGTCATGAAAAGAAACGCTTCTAGTTCACGATCAATATAAACTGACTGCAGAACAAAGAGACAGGAGCTCATTTCTTCAGAGTTCAGGCCGCCGTACTGCTGAGCCAGATGAATTTCACTGAACCCCCATCTGCAGTGGTCGAACCCCCCAAACCACTAGAGTTTCAGAGCGGTGTGTCACAGATCCGTGGTGCACTACTATCTGTCCGTCACCTACTGAAGGTCCTACCTCCTGATGGAGCTGGACACACTTATTCACGTACTGGGCCACGAGACCAAGACCAGGACCACATGTGATCATTGTTTGGCTAGAATCTGTTTTATTTTGTGTTTTCTGTAGTATTCTTTTTATTCTGTGTTTTACAGTGTAAGCACATTTTGTCATCAGAGTGTGTAACCGTGTGGTGGATGAATAAGATTTCAGCGATTCAGTAAGAAAATATCACACACTGAATCGATATCAGTGAATTTGATGTATTGTGCAAATACGCATGATGCAGGTGCAAATATTTATGCGGACAATTCAGAATGAACGTCGGCCTGTTGCAACAGGAGGATGTTAAAATTTGAGAAAATTTGATTTGTATTGTTGCAGAACATGTACTGTCCTATTGAACAGGTATTTACCTATTTACCTTTACTCGGACCTGAACCCGGACAGACCGCTGGACTCTCTGAGGTCGAACCTTCAGCCGGTGTCGGACCTGAACCTGGACAGACCGCTGGACTCTCTGAGGTCGAACCTTCAGCCGGTGTCGGACCTGAACCCGGACAGACCGCTGGACTCTCTGAGGTCAAACCTTCAGCCGGTGTCGGACCTGAACCCGGACAGACCGCTGGACTCTCTGAGGTCAAACCTTTAGCCGGTGTCGGACCTGAACCCGGACAGACCGCTGGACTCTCTGAGGTCAAACCTTCAGCCGGTGTCGGACATGAACCTGGACAGACCGCTGGACTCTCTGAGGTCAAACCTTCAGCCGGTGTCGGACATGAACCCGGACAGACCGCTGGACTCTCTGAGGTCGAACCTTCAGCCGGTGTCGGACATGAACCCGGACAGACCGCTGGACTCTCTGTGGTCGAACCTTCAGCCGGTGTTGGACCTGAACCCGGACAGACCGCTGGACTCTCTGTGGTCGAACCTTCAGCCGGTGTCGGACATGAACCCGGAC